CTGAGTGGTCTTTATGTATGTGTTAGGTTTCACATTTAACCTGCCATGTAATGTCTATAGAAATATTACTTAACTTTGCCACAACATACATTATTTCCTCTGGTAAGCTATACTTCATGGTCCTCATATTTGCCAGCAGTATTTGACCCATCCTTTTGTAACAATCTTTCAGGACCTAGCAGGGTGCATGTTTAAATAGGTGGACAAAACTGCACCTTGAGAATTTCATTCATAACTAGGAATTGAACCCTCACTGCAGTGAAGCAATAATGCCACTGTACAATCTCATGTTGTTTTGTGGATGGAGAGTGGGCTTCACCTGTAACATGAAAAAGTTGCCAGTATCTATCACAAAGCTAGAAAACACTGTCAGGAACCGAGGACTTGTAAACAGATGTAAACTGAACATGGAGCAGCGTCAGCCCTCCTGCTGCCTCACACTCTTGTTTGCCTCTGTATTTGTGCCATATTTGCACAGAAACGTCATAGAGGCAGAGAAGTTGCATTGACAGCTTGTGCTACATCCACATTTCTAAAGCAGCAAATACAAGCAGTGAGATTTTGTGATTTTTACTTTTACCATTTACTTAAATTTAGGGCTGCATTTTGTGATGGGTTTTAAGGATGGGACTTAATCAACCATACCGCTGCGCTAAAAACAAGTCCGTATTGTGTTCCGTGAGTATTATTGTTGAATGGCATGTCATGTTTAATCCACCTTGGAGTACCTCATTTCTCTTGTTTTATAATTGCAGCCTACTTGTTGCTATGGTGATGACAGTGTTCCTTTTGTCACACATTTTACACGCATTTCTGTCTGTATTCTGAGACAACATGTGGCTTTGAAAAATTTATGGTCAGTTCCAACTCCATCACCAGCATTTGCATATGTATTCAGAATGATTAATGTTTCTGCAAATTTATAAATATATTCTCAAATACATATTTTTATTATGTGACTGATATGTTTGTGACAGCTCAACCCACAGCTGAAGTACCACAGCTAACCACACATTACACACAACAACACAAATTAAAACATAATCAGTGAGAGCTATACCAAATATCATTTTGTGAGAATGTGTCCTCTATGACGTCTGCTGTGTGACCAACCAGGGCACAAGCAGTGCTGGACTTTATATTCATTGACACACATTTGCTTCAGTTGGAGGTGTCTAGATTATTGTGGTACCTTCAAGTCTACATACACTGCAAAAAGATATGCCTAAATCTAAAGTGCTTTTTCTGGTGGTTTATGTCACAATAAGTTTATTCTTCTCCTTCAGAATGGTCTCACATGTTGTGTACTAGACTATGAATGAAAAACTATTGCAGATTTTAATATTTAACAAATTATTTTTTGGACATGGCATTTGTTCCTATAAACCAAGCCAGACAAGACAGGTTACTTCATTGTGATGTAGTATAATTAACAACAAACAACACAGGCTGAAGTTCAAATGCACACACTCAGACACACAAACACATTCATACAAGAAGACACGCACGCACACACACACACACGCACACACACACACACGCACACACACACACACACACACACACACACACACACACACACACACACACACACACACACACACACACACACACACACACACACACACACACACACACACACACAGCACACACACACACACACACACACACACACACACACACACACACACACACACACACACACACACACACACACACACACACACGATGATTGACTGAATGTTTTGGCCAGTGTCTCGCCTCAGGGCTGTATAGTTACAGATTCCCTGTGCTGATAGCTCTCACAGGTTCAGGCTTCATTATTGAAGCATTTGTCACATAAGTCAGGCTGCCGCCATCAGCACATATCTGCAACCTCCCTGCTGTGCAGCCCACCATAATACTCCCTGATTATGGCTGCTTCAACAGTCCCTGTGTGGCCTTTCAGCCCATCTTCTGCGGTTTTAATCTGAATGTCGAATTTAGAGGGGTTGGGTAGAGTGGTCCAGACTGTTCAACTGATCATTGGAATCAATGCAAATATCTTTCCTTGTGCAACAAGATGGATTCTAGTGATATTTGTGAGATCACAACTCAGAGAATTGAAGTACTCCTGGTTAATTGGACAGGTGGACCAATTACAGAGCAGGATTGAGGTTTGTGTGGAAGTGAAAGCGAAGCGCCCAAATGCACCAAAACAAACATGGCAACACCGACAGACATGCTTAGTCTATTGTAGCGTCAGTACAGAATATTTTGTTTGTTAAAAACATGCAGAAGGTAAGCACTTTGTGCATTTGTGTTAATGGAAGATAACTGTGCTTTTCTCTCAACTGGATGTAACAAAAGTTCGATTTTTTGGCTTGTTCAACTGTTGTGGCACTTTAACCAATCAGTTTCATGACGTTCTGTGTTTTTTAATCCTTTTTAGTGAGCATCATCCCAGATTGTTAATATGCAGAACTCAATTCAGAGTGACACTCATACCAATAAACAAATATCACAAAGAGGGACATCCTTGACTGAATACAATAGAATACAATAGTAAAAAATAGACAAGAATAATCCAAATCTCATTTGATTCTCTCTTTTGTACTGAAATATAGCATATTTGAATGTCTGACCTTCAGTGATGAGCTCAGATAGCTGTCCATGTCTCAGGCTCTGACTGATATTGACTGAGGAGCCTGAGGAGGAGAATGACCTGGAAGTATTCACCTTCTGCATCTTAACCAATCTGTGAAAACTGATGTGAGAATGTTAAGAGTAAGAGATAAAATGGCATGACTGACAGTGTGAGATCCTTCAGTGCTGTGCTTTGGATCACGTGCCATGCATGCACCAAGAGCTGACTTTTCAATGGTATGGTGATGTTTGGAAGACATCAGTGTCAGAATGACATCTGTCCTGTGGGAATCAGACATCAGACTCAGCCTCACTATTTCATCAACATCAGCCCTTCTCCACCTTTAGAGCTGTATCCATCACCAGACACATAATATGCACCAAAGATGGGCAGGGTTTAAAGTCACACTCCATAATGAATGGGAACACAATATAGCTGTAACTTTCAATTTATTATGCTCTCCAGACAAATTTCATTTACATTGCTGCAGCACTGTTTTACAAATAATAAACCAGAAAATGTAAAACATTTACTTTTTTCTTTCAGTATATTTGGCTTTCGTCTCAGTCACAACTACTGTCCAGCTGTGGTGGTCAAACCTGTGGCAAACTTGGTCAAATGGTTCCTGAGTGACACAGCATAGTCTAAGTGATATCTTTATGCAGTGCACAAAAGCTTCTGTACTTAAAATGCATATTTAATGCAGTACCTATACTTAGAGGTTTTAACTGTTTATTACACCCAGACTGACACGGCTGCAGGAATGTGTGTTTAACAATAAGATGTATTAATGAGAACAGTGACATTTGAATATTAAATTGCTGAGTGCAGCTATGTTAAACAAAATTAGTGTTTACCTCAGAATTGGTGTTAGTACATTTTATTACTGTTTCATGTCCTCTGGGTGATATCCATTAAATTCATAAAATAATAATAATAATAATAATATTAGTCAGGAATTCAATTAGTTCCATGTAAAACATATTTTGCTGTGCATTGCATGGTGAAACCACAGAAGCCCTGAAAAAATAAGGTTAATTTATGTCTGGGAAGAGTGATGCTTAGTGCATTTCTTTGCAATTTACTCTGACATTTGGAAATTCCCAAATAGCATTTGACATTTTGGACTAATAGTGGACATGGGTAATCATGCTATTAACATTTTGAGCTGGCCTCACTGAGCCATCAATGTCTCACTCAAGCTGCATTTAAAAATATGAGCATAAAGGATTTATTCAGAGGCAAACCCCAGGACGTGATGTGTGTAGTGTGAATTACAGAAGCTCTGACACACTCAGGACCTGTTCTCTCTGCTGATCTCTACCTTTGCTGCTGTAAAGTAAGGCCACATTAGAGTCAAACTGCTCCACTATCCCACTTCTCTAATGGAGGGCAGTGTCTATGAAACATATAAAGACTCCCATATGACCTGTTTCACTCTCACACAGACAAAGAGCATCCATACGACACACACGGATCTTCAAGGCATAAGATTTCAACACTTGGTCATATATCACTCGATATGATTCACTAGTATTGCAGACATGGACATAACCTATTTTCACAGCCTTTTATATAACCAACCCTGATGCATATTAGGCTATATCTGATTTCATTTTGTGGCTGCTTAGCATTACTTGTTACACTGTCTTTTAAGCAGCTTTGTGTGCATGTGCTTGTGTTCATTTGACCAAATGTGAGAGATTATGCTGGTCTGAGGACACCTCAATAATGGCACACATCCACACACTGACCATTTTACACTATAATGAAATAAACACTCTTCATAGAGATTCCATTGGGTGGTCATTTTATATTACACATTAAATGATTTTTTTTTTTTTTTACAGTTTATTGACAACAAAATTAAGATAAAGACCTACAAAAGCACACTGGTGTACTGCATGGAGCGCTTGTGAGAACCCTGTTTGTCCGCCATGTTGTGTCTGTATGCCTTGTGTGTAGAGTTCTTTCCACCAGAGAGATTCAACAGTGATAAATAGAGCTGACCAAAGTCCAGTTTGCCCAGAGCAGTGCTGCAGTCTCTCTCTGATAATTTGACAATGTGTATGTTTGGGTTTAAGAGTGCTGCTTTGAGCTCCAGCCAAAGTCCCTGTGCTTTTCGCCAAGTCTGTCTACGATCCAAAAACAGAACTGAAGAGGGGGCCAAGTACGAGTGCACCAACTCTCCAAAGTCAGGTCAGCATGATCCAAAATCCCAAGAGTCTCTCATTCACTGCCTTCCACCCGTTGTCCTGCATACAGAAGCTGTCCTTCTGCTTTCTCCATTTCCGTTGTGCACACCATTTGAAACTCCTCCAAAACTGTCTCCCATTTCAAAAGGCCCTCGCCGATTTCTCCTGTGGCTGTTTGGCTTGGCATTTCACTGTGGCTTTCTGGGTCGTGCCATTTACAAGGGAGATGAGAATTTGTTGTGTACGTATAAGGACAAAGTATGATTGCTGATTTGGAGGTGGACAGGTTCACGTTTATGAGAGAAGAAATATTGTGAGAATGGACACGCACATCGTCACACACATATGATGGAGGGATGCTGATTTCCAACCGCTGCTACGGTCTTCAGCTGTGTCCTGAGAGTCTAACGACCCATGGGTCAACAGGGCCTGGATTTGCAGAGGGGGAGAAGAGACAGAGCAATGTTGTCATTTCATCACACAAAGTATTTACGCTACCATTACATTTCTACAACCAAGAATAGAGCTGGGGCTGTGCCATTCTTATACCTCATAGAATTTTTTGTTAAAGTTAAAACAATGGAGAATTTCAAATGGTAAATATTAATTCAGCATTAATTCAAATGTATTTTGACTATAGAGTGATAAACATAATTGCAGATGTATTTGGGCTGTTCCATAACTCTTTTGTTTGTTTATTTTTTTCTTTTCTTTTTTTTTTTACATTGTTTTTGCTTATGTATATATCCTGTATGGGTGTTTTGCACTGCTGCCAAAAACAATGGCGTATTTCCATTTTGATTATCCATTCCAAGTTCTGCTGACATTATTTACTCCTTTTAAGCAATACACTGTGGCATTAAATGAAGACCAAGTCAAATTATTCTTTATTGTTTTACCTTTTAATTTCTAAATTTATACTTTAAGGGGGGGTCATCACATCCAGAGGTACTTAAACTGTATTTGTAGTCCAACTAAGCTGTCAATCCATATATATAAATATACACACACACACACACACACATTTTATATATATATATATATATATATATATATATATATATATATATATATATATATATATATATATATATATATATATATATATATATATATATATATATATATATATATATATATATATATATATATATATACACATACATTCATTCATACATACATACATACATATATATTACTACTAATATCCATCTTACTGTAACATCTGCATATCATCAGCTGTTGAAATTTTTGTTTTAGTTTTTTAGGTTTGATTACTCAGCTGACCTTTAAGCTTCAATTTATATAAATAAAAAATAATGTTTGTATTCCCAACATCCACCCCCAGCACATATGTTTTGTTGATCCAAAAAGTGTAAGTGATTGTATGCCTTTCACAAACACAGATGGAGACATACAGTTTACTGCCACATTCACACAAATATGGCTTCTTCTTTATTTGTCACTTCTATATTAAGAATGTGAAAATATTTAGTTTAATATTTTAAAGGTCATTACTGGGGTTTCCATCATGTATAATTCATTACCTCTACCACATACAACAATTTACCCTCCCAACTATTCAGTCTAATAATTGCAAGAAGAAGCTCCCACCTCCTCACACTTGAATTCTTCTGATGGGATGCACTTCTGACCTCCATCCTGTAAAACAAATACATTAAGTTTTATCAAGTTTTACATTGTGTTTATTATTGCTCTGTATTTAACTGTTGCTATATTTCTCCCATGGTTTGCCCTCTCACTCTCAGATAATGAACTTTGATTACTGCTGCTTAATTAATAGGGTATTTTTGCCACAGTATTGAGATAATTGGACGACATTGAACCCCAAGTGGTTTTAACTCCTAAACACTGTAATTGGCTATATAAATGAGGTATAAGTTTATCCAGAAAGTTGCTCACATTGCTATCAGAAATTCAAGCGTAAACAAACATGAAATTTAAATTTATCATCTTCTTCCATCTGCATCTTTTGTCAGCGCTTCATTAGCATATCTCCTCCCGTGCTTGGGTGGGAGAGCCAATCAGATCTTATCGCTCAACTAGAAAAGAGAGAAGTCTTTTCACAGAGAGGGAATAATAGAGAGCAGAGGAGAAGCCTGGAAATGCTTCACGCCAGATCCTTATCTTATTCCCTGAAATGTACAAATCTATAAATATTCATATATATGTGTGTGTACACTGGTTTTCTGCCATAATCATTAAACTGCATAGATGCACCATTGTAATATTGACTATTTGTGTGGTAATCCTCTCTGACACTGTACGCCTCTGCAGGTCAATTTCCTATAAAATGAATGCCCAGTGTGTTTATGGAAAAATGATAGCCATATTTATATGCTTTGGAAAATGCTACTATTCAGAAACAACTAATTCAACGCAGCATGTGTCTCGCTGCATCCAAAGGGACTCAACACGGAGCAAAAATATGTCTTTTTTCATATCATTCTTGCTAAAATATCAGATTGCTGTTTCTTCAGTTTTCTCTGTCTGTTTGTCTGACTCATACACTCTTGTCGTTTTTCAAATGTAACTTAATCTCAGTGCGTGTGCACATTTACTGGAAAAGCCCAGTATGCGGTGCCATTGAAAGTGCTGAGGGACGGCAGTTTGTAGCATTGTCATTATGGTGTATGAATAACCTGAAGGACTGGTGGATAGCTCGAAATGGAACTGGTCAGAAACACACACAATAGTAAGCCTTAGTAATAGTTTGTTGTATCAATGATTTATATTATTGCAATTCAAACAGATACACCACACAAAGCACACTATGACCATAATGTAAAATTTTCAAGCTGTTATTTTCAGTGAACTCAGAGTTCTTTACCTCGTTAAAGTAAAATCAAAAATTAACTTCTCACCAGACTATCACAGCTGTTCATCTGAATTTCAAATTAAGAGTGAACTTTCAAACTTGTTTAACACAGTTTAGTGCTTTTCTTTGTCACCTGTCAACTTTCAGTCCTCGTTCTGATGAACTTGTGATACTAATTCAGTCTCAGAATCACATTTAAAATCAAAATTCATTTCAGTACAGCTCTCCTACAGGTAAAAAAAAAGAGTTCGGCTGGCTATACTAAATTTGTTACATATTGTGTGTTTTACTTAACTATTAGAATGCAGCTTTAAAATTGGACTGTCTACATCTCATCACATTATCTTCTTAACTTTTATAAATATATTATGTCATGTTTTTTTTTTTAAATATACACAGTGTCTAGTGTAGTTTTATTATATGCCCTTTCTTTCTATAATTCATGCATCAAATCCTTTACATAATGGATGGCAATTTTCATTGGCCTTTCACCTTGAGTCTTCCACTTCCTCCCTCTGCATAATGGATGTGTATGCACTGTGTGGATAGTGGCAGAATGGTACTAATGTGTGAAGGTGAAAACGCACAAAGCACATAAACCTTTCTCTGCTCAGAGCCTTCCACACTTTTGGCCATATGTTGAGCACTGTATATTACCGCTATAGCTGATGGCACAAAAGTGGCAGGAAGAACAAAGTGAGTCAATAAACCTCCATTTTTTTATCCTTACCTGCAGGTTGGCACATGTGGAGAACATACAGGCGCTGTCTAGGGGTTTAATGGCATTGCCGTGGAAAGAGGGGGCGGGCTTAGCGATGATTGGCGGCTGGGCAGGGGGTAAGAATGTTGAGGATAGTTCGGTGGAGTGATGTGGTGCCCCCTCAGAGCCGTAACCAAATGCTTGGATGGCATTTTCTGCAACACGAGATAAAAGGATGGGGTGAGGATCAACATGGAAGAAATGCAAAACAGCCAGTAGGGGATCGAGGCTATGAGGTTAACTTAATAATCCTTTTTAATACCTCTGCTTAGAGCTACAACACTGAATATCATACAGACTGTCCAAAAGTGTGGATAGTACAAACAGACAGCAGCCAATAACATACTCAAACTGTGGCCAATGGGTCTAAGCATTTCTCTTTCTTCAGTTTAATTGCCAAACGTTGCGTGTGTGTTATCAGGTCTGGATGTGGTCCTGAACATTATCGTGGGGCATTTTGATGAACTAGATGTTATTATATTTTTTAAAACAAAGTCAGTACATTTTGAGGTATTTATCAGCTGCTACTGAAGTAAAAAAAAAAAAATAAGTGAGGTGAAATTTACTTGTATGTATGTAATAAACATGATCAGTGCCTAACCATCCTCATACGGGCCATTTTTCTTCCGTCTGTAATTTTAGATATGTGACAGGTGTGATCTGATATTGAAGCTATTGGTCCTCTTGAAAAGCTACTGTTGCTGAAAGAGGTCCTTGTATGTGCCTACATGTAGCGTCTGACCCTCCCCTCTGTGCTCACTCAGGCAGGTGTTGTGCGTGAAGTCGCGGTGGAAAGCCTCGCACACTCGCTCCTGATTGCCAGTGCCCCTGCAGGTGCACCACAGGCTGATAGTGATGTTGGAGGGACTGCTGTCGCTGTAGTTAGGCGTCACATCTGAGCCTGAGCCCGAAAAAGAAAGACGAAGAGAGAAGAAGACAGGAAAGAGAGGAGGAGGAGCAAAGAAAAGGAATTAGGACAAAGATTAGTGAAGAAGAAAGGTAAAGAGGATTTTAGAAATTCATAAAATTGAATCAGTGGATAATTTCCAGTGAAGAAGCAAAGTACCTACAAAGTATTTTTCAGAAGTCGCATGCTTAGTTTCCACTAAGTATGTGACTTCTGAAAAATACAATCCACTGTAAATACTTAAATAAGATTTTATAATAGTGAGGGGGAATATGAATATGAATCTCCCATTTTCAGAATATGAACTGTACCATAAACTGCATGACTTTAGCAGCATTTTGGCCTGTATAGTATTGCTGAATACCTTTGAATAATACTAGCCTATAATTTTTTGTCAAACTAAAAGATTCAGAACCAAGCAAATAATCATATCACATTTGCTATTTCCACAAATAACTATTGTAATGGGTCGGTATAGGTATAGCATGCATTTAAATCTTACTTCTTCATGCAATAACACTGCAACAGCACTTATTTTATTAAAAGCACTACATTAAATGCAGCCTTGATGAGTTTAGACCAATTCAATCTCCACGGACACCTCTGACATATTTCATCTTACAAGATAAATTATGTATGTATGAGCTGATTATATTTTCATATGGAGTGCAGTTTAGTGGCTGGAACAAATAAAACTGAATGATGATATTAAACATTTTATCTATTTATATCTGAGTAACCAGGTCAATAGGATATTTATGTTATTCCTTTATACACTACTTTTAACACCTACCTATGAGGCCAACATAGGACATGAGGCAGCCATAGTAGTTGTCATGCGGACAGCTGGTGATAGTGTGAGGCGTCATCTGGCAGTTAGTGTGGTAGTCCGCAAGTCGAGACCTATAATACAACAGAAACATGTCTGATTAGTGCAGCAGGCAGAAGTTTGAGATAATCTTTCCCATTTTCACAATACATGTCCTGCAATATGCAGGACATGCATATTCACACTGTCTGAGGCAATACATGTGAGACTGCTTAGCTTAATCTAGCGTCTGGCCTAGTTTTGTCTTTTCTGTTTGCTGTCTTCTTGCTCTGTATCATTATTTTTCACAGATTAACACAGTAGAAGCAGGTTTGAGAATGGCAGTAATGGTATGGAAGCCAGCTAAAGGCTGTCATATGGCCAGATCAGTCAGGGAGCAATAGTGTGAAACCTATCCCATGGAGAGAACCCTGAGACACAGCCACCTGGTGTAGGTCTGTGAATGTCAGAGGGACAAAAAGAACTCTAAAACTGCACTTGAGTAAAAATCACTTAATACTCACTATCACTATCACTCAATAACGAAATAGGTTCTTCACTAAGCCCAATCTCTCAAAGTTTCTTCACTCCTGGCAACTGCATATCTATGCAAAATCTCTTTATTGACAAAGTTTTGCTCTTTTTATTTTTGCCCTCTGCCAAAACAGCTGACATTTTAGTTTTCCATTCTTACTAATTATCACTAACTTCTTTACTTATGTCAAAGGTAAATCTTGGTTTAAATCCTGCTCAGAAGATACGCTTGACTGTCACAGGTGTTAATATCAGTATGGTGCTTTCTTCACAGCTGACCAAAGTTCATTTGATCGTGTGAGCAGACAAGACAATTTGAAATCAACAGCTCCAACAGTTTATGTGTAAGCTGTAATAGATACATAGTAGATACACCACACATCTCTGAATCTAAAGGTTGTTGGTTCAAGACCACATTTGGGCTCAGGACCAAGTCTGGTCAGAGAAGTGACTGTGTTAAAATATCCCTGCCCGACTAGTGGTTTTTGTTCTTTCAGTAATTCTACAATGTTGAGACAACAGCAACAACTGTCCTGTCCCACAGTCAGCCCTTGTCCCATCTCTGTCATTTGAGGTCACACGCGCGCACACACACACACACACACACACACACACACACAGACACATCGTGCTCATGAGGTCTGTGTGGCCCTCTAACTCCGGGACACTCTGACTCACACGCCTCTGTGGAGTCCACTTAGTGTTTGGCAGCCGCTTATTTAAAGAAACAGGCTTTTCAGAACAGAGGACAATGCCACTGGTGCTTGGGCCTCACATCCACCAGACAAGGGCAAAAAGGTAACATGAGGAGTTATAAGGATGGCCAATTACACATTCTGAAACACTGAACTGAAATTATTCAAACTTGTGCATTTTGAATGACAGCAGTTCTTATAGTTTTATTTGCCCAATAGGTCAGACCTACTTGGACATTTGGCTTTAACCACACTTAAATCAAGAACTTCAGATTTACATCATCCTTATTTTAATTTGATACATTTCATTAGAAAGTTCAAATTTAACTTTTTAAGAGTTCATATTTTGGCATGCAGATAAATGGCATAATCTGTGATATGTGATATGCTTTGAATTCATGAGAATGAGACTGAATTTGTCGTTCCAAATTGTGCCAGTGTAACTCATTTGTTTATTGTGACAGTGTATCTTTTAATTCCTTAACATCTTTTAATTAAACATTTATCTGGTTGATGGATAGATAATTTAGAAGACACTGTCTTTGATGAATTCAGCTCTCCAGGGCCTTAGATCCTTGTTCACCCTTACATCTGAAACTATATTTCTATGTTCCAGTTCAGGACTGGACATGAGCATCAGGCCCCTCTAGCTCCAGAGTACAGTCTTGGTGATAAATGTCTTAAGGTCAGTGGATTCTCTTTGTCGAACTGATGATATGTTTAGATTAATCTTCAATGAAACTTGTGCAGGAATAAGGGCAGAACTGTACATTAGATAGCACATTTGCACCTTGTTTGTTTTATTCTGTTCACCTTACTCTTACTTTATTAGAATTCAGTGCACACACTTATAAAACATTCATTAACCTGGACTGTATATGTAAACAACGCAATAGCTGTTGAAAGAAAAACTGTAGTATTCATATAAATTACTTAAAAATAAATAATTACTTAATAATTACTACCACCGATGACCTAAACCTACAAAATATTTCAAATACTACCGCTGCAACCAGCTGCTGGGCTATAGACCTATAATATATATTTCTTTCAGTGTGTTGTTATTGTGTTCCTGTATTAAACCTATTTCATAGTTGTTAAGAGATCTGTCCCGAGTGGCGTCGTAAAGTCTCTTAGCAGCATGCAAGGCACTCAATTATATCTGAATGTACAAGAGAAGGTGAAGAAAATATACAATCAAACTGTACAGAGGCTGAGTGAGCACAAATGGTCTTATTACGGACTGGCGGCCTCCATACACTCCACTGTGATGACGGCAGACATGGCCATACAGTGAACACTAAATGCAATTATCTATGGTGTAAACACTGAAACCATATATAGGGCTCAATGCATGCTAGGTAATGGCTCTTGTGTACTGATGGAGAGGCTGCTGTCAGAGATGCTTCACTGTGTCTGACCCTGAGGTGTCACTCACACTTTAACAAATTGTGAGCAGGCCTCGGGAGCTTTTCATTTATCAGCTCTGCGTAATGAAAACACACTCTCTCTCATATCACAGGTCTACCAGAGTGAGAACACACAAGTAGGATTCAAAACAAAACAAACGCAAACAAACACATCAAATCCAAACATGTTTAAATGTATCATTACAGTTGAGGATTCAATGTCTTTTCCAAATCTTCCCACAGGCTGAGACACTCTGACTCTAGCCACAACAGCACTGGGAAAGGAACATTTGCAATATTATGTCTATATTTGTTAAACACACTTCCAGTATTTCAAGCCATTTAGAATCAGGGCTTTCAGGCTCCAATATCCATGCTTTCATTGGGAATTTGAGTGCACAAAAAATGTTCATAAGAAGAGCAGTGATGGTTTATACACTTAACAACTATGCTGGAAAGTATTTCTAAGTAGCGAGAAGGAGAGGACCTAATAAACTAGGTTACTGAAATCTTGAATGACGCAACAATATAATTCCAGGTATGATAATGATGAATGTTAAAGGCTTGAAAAACATACATTTTACAATATTTTTCTCCGTTATTAAGGCTCAAGGGATTTAGCCATTATAGAATCAATAAATTACTGGAATTCTTTGATCTAGTTTACTGCACAAAACAGTCACTCAATAATCAGTAGAAGAGCAAAGTGAAGAGTAGAGAGGAAAAGCAAACAGCGCTCTTTTTTTGTTTAGGTGTAATTATGTTGTGCAAATACCGTATACAGAAAGTTGGTGTGTCACACAAATATCATTTGTTTGCTTGGTGAGCTGTGTAACAGTTTAATTGTGTTTTTATTTCTTTTGACATGTTCAACCCTAATATGTGTGTTTGGATTCCCATGTTCATGCTGCCCAGTGCTGTGCCTGTGTTAAGTCTGCAGTATATTGGTGATTAGCTGCTTTTGTCTTGCTGTTCTCTTTAATTAACATTCCCTGAGTGGGATGCTTCATCTGCATGTTTACATATTTACATAGCTTATGGTGCCACTTCCAATTACCATCATTGTGCAGACCGCCCTTGGTTTAAATCTCTATGTTCATAACTTTTGGTTGACTTGCTGTTGTGGGCTCTTGATTGCTCACTTCCTGCTTACTTGGCAAAGGAATTGAGCTGGATGGTGGCATGCTCCACATAAACACCCAAACAAAAAGCAGACGTGAAGGGGCCTGTTGCATTGCTCTGTCCTCTGTGACCTACAAAATAGAGGCACGCTATTTCCATCATGGCTCCCGCTCACCTCACTGACCGTGTAATGGAGCGATGCCGTGGCTAGATTGGCTTCCTTTGCTTTAAAACACCACTCAGATGCTGCCGCTCCCCAGTTTAGCTTAGTACACACCACTGCACAGGTTTATGTGTGTGCATGCATACACTGTCATTAGCACGCTAGCTCGCATGATGATGGAAGTAATAAGAAAAACTCATATACATTCTCTCATGGCTTCTTTTCACATAGCTTATACCGTTTTCTCTCTGTGAAGCTGATAAGGATTTTAATACTGTCTTCTAAAGTATCCTGCAGATAAAAAAAATTTGATTCAGATTCAGGCATTCATTTACTAGAATGGAACGTTCAAACAAATACTTCATGTTGATTGGTCAAAGTATCATAGCAGCGGAACAAGATGAAAAATCTAAGTGTAGTTAAATCCAGTTGAGCGAAAGACACACATATTTTACCCATCTACAAATGTGTGCATGTTTTTCACAAACAAAATAGTCTGTATTTCCACTAAAAAGTCTGAAGTACATAGGTGTCAGTCGGTGTCACTATGCATGTTTTGGCTTCTGCCCAAACCACAGTGCTGCTGTGTGATTGGACCTCTCACATGCAAACGTTTCAGATGGAGCGGAACAAGACGGATACTCAAGAGTTTGTGAAACACTGGTAAACTCACAAAAATCATGAGAATTCATCTTGCTGGCAGCCTAATCCATCATCCACAATTGTAGTACAATTAATAGTTGCTATATTTTTAATTTAAAGAGGTTTGTGAACTTTTTGAAATTTAATCTCAGTTTATGAAAACTTTTCATTCCTGCTTCAAACAACATGCTTTTACTGCCACAGGACTGTCTGACCCTGAAACCCCAACATATTGATTTCAAACAGTCGGATCATAAATAGATTTTCAAATTTGATTTAAATTGAAAATATACACTGATATCCAGCTCCAAACTTGATTAAATAGGGTGGCTTAAGTATGCAAGGTCATCCACTGTGGATCAAATACATTACCACTGATTAGGATGAAAAAGAATATTGATAATTTACATAAATAGTTGTATAGTTTTTAGTTTGTTTAAGTTTATTGTATTATAGGCATAAATACAATTTTCTGCTATAGTCTAATTCCATTCTGCAATTCAAGCATATTGAATTTATCATTATCCACT